CCCAGGCAAGGACTGTGTTTCTTAAGTGGACAGCACTGTGTGGAACATTACCACTCCTGTTTACTGGAAGGAGAACACTGGTGAACTTGAACGTAAAATAAGGGACAAGTGCTTTGAAAACCTTAAAATGCTCCATAAGCATGAGACCTTGGTTACTATTTGCCAGAACTAGCATTTCAGTAGCAAAACTTGCAAAGGTCAGAGATAAAAATTTATCTTTGACCTGGATGCTTGCCTGAACTTTGTGGTATTCAAGGACTCTACTGTCTTGTTTGTCAGGAAGACAATTAATTACATTGATAGGTTTATTAGGTTTCCATTCTAAAGCTAGAAAGCCCCCTGGCAACTTTTGCAGAGTGTTTTGCTGTTGTTGTTCATTTCCTCTTATTTTGTTTTTGAGTCAATGAAACAATTCCTGTGGTTTAAAATTCAAAGAGTAAAGAAAAATGAAAACTCCTTTTGCTAACGTCTTTTCTCTACCCATTCAGTTCCACTCCTGAGAGCCAACTCATGGGAACCAGTATCTCTCTTGCTGCTTAGACACATCTTGTTCTTCATATAACTTTCTCTATGTGAGAATCTGGGTTGTAAGGGTTTCCTGACTCTAGCCATGTGACATCCCATAGGATGGTCACTGAGACACAGGACTGAGCAGAGGCCAATCCCAAGAAGTTTAGGAACAAGTCTTCCCCAAAACTACAAACATTTGTCAATGCCTAATTTTACTATTCTGCACTCCACTGGCCAGGCAGTTAAATGCCTTGCCAAAGACTGGCAAAGAATTGGAGATAACATCTGTGTGGGTGGATATGGCTATCTCTCCTCTGACCAACTTTCCTGACACAGTCACACAATTGCATCTTTGTTCCTACCCAGAGAGCTGGACGGTTGGTGCTAGGAGAGCATTATTGCTGCAATCACCAGGGTTCAGTTAGTGTAGAGAGTAACTCACACTTGTTTCCATATTGGCCTGTACACATGCTCTTCATTTGTGTATACATTTGTTATTTATCCAATTGAAATGATAAGTTACTCAAAGGTAGGGTCTTAGTATTTAAACCTTTTGTATCCTCAGAGCCCCAAATACTAGGATCTCAGCTCCTATTTTTTTTCATTTTGCTTAGCAATTGAGAAACGAACTTTTCTTCCTTCTTAGTATCTCTAAAATCTGAGTAGTTCCCATGGGAATATGGTGGGAACATGAGATATTGTTCTCATCCTCATGAAGTGACACATTTTCTAGAGAGACAAAAATTACACTTATGAAACAGGGGCAATGCTTACTAAGGTGCTAAATTGAGGTGGGTTTAAGGGGGACATGGCTGAAACAGGATTGACCATCTTCATTTTCTCTAGAGATTAAGTTTCGTTTTCTCTAGAGATTAAGTTTATCTATTTCTAGACATTCTAGTTTAACCTTGATTCTTAAGACTGTAGTTCATAGACTGACTAACAGAAGCAAGTCTGTTCTTCGTCCTCTTCTGGGAAATTTTCTGTATTCTATTGGGTATGGTCATCCTCACCCTCAGACTTTCCCAACCTAGGAACTACACCCATGCAGGATACTCCAACAGGGCTTCCTTAGAGGAGACAAAGCCATTCTGACAAACCCTGTTTCATATCTACTCTTTGGAGTTACATGATTCTTGCATATTTTTGGGAAGATGGGCAGCTTCAGTGTTAATACTGCAGGGCCCAGGAGCCAACAGGCCCCTGACTGGCCTCACATTAACGCTGACAGTCAGGAGCCAGGGAGAAGACGAGTGACCCCGAGGAGGGTGGAAGACAGTAAAGGCCTGTGGGGTTTCCCAAGGTTAACTAGGGACTGGAGACGACAATGGCTTTGGGTTACACACTTGATGCTTTTCACAGATTCTCCTAAATATAGCATTTCTCTCCAATCCTGGCAGTAAGGCAACAACTATGCTGATTGATTGGTTTTTAAGTTCCCTGTTGGGGTGAAAGAAGATAAAAGAGTAGGAGTAAGTCTGGCTCATGTTTGTGGATTTTTATTATAACAAGAGTCATTTATTTTTAAAACAGAAAAATCAGGCTTTAGCCTTGAAACAAACAAATCTAGCCAAGATTATCCACGTTAAAAAATTAATCCGAACAGTACATGACTTTGAATCAGGAATAACATTATGACTAGATTTTTACTGTGAAGAAATTATCCTGGTCGATTTATGAGAGGTTTGTGGATGAAGCTTAGGAACATGCAGTAGATAAAACAATAACTGACAAGTCCAAATTATTCCCTCCAAGGATTCAATTAGGTAAGGAAGAGATTGCACCAAGGAAGATGGTAGACTCAACCATTTAACCCCCATGGTACAAAGAGAAGCATGTTTAAGATAATTTCTTATAAACATTATCACCAGTAGAAAAAATCAGGCAATACCCATATAGATCTATTTGTGAGTTTAAATTGAAATCGCTGCATTGGGTAGGTTGTATGGAGAAGTGGTCAAGGGTTAGACTTCCCAATCTAGGACAATCTGCCCTCAGGGCCATTACTGGATATAGCTGCAGGAGTAAAGTGTGAAGGAAGCTCACCAGCTGGCTAATTGTTCAGCAAAGCTGCTGATGGGACATCACGAGTGGGCTCAGGCCACCTTGGGTCAAGGCTTGGACCTCAGATTCTGAGAAATGATTTCATAGTAACCAAAACAAATAAGCTAACAAGCATTCATATAGAAAAATGAGAGTTCAAAGGGAACTTGAGTTCTTGTGCCAACTGGTCAACCCATCCTCTTCTTACCAGGACACTATTTGAGAAACCAAGTTAAGGTTGTTAAACAGATGATGTGAGGAAAGAGAGGTCAAAGATGTTCAAAAAGTTAATATCTCCAAACTTTGCAAACCTGATGTTGCCGTCTCTCTAATCTCTCCCAAGGGACCAGATTTCTCAGGCAGATGAGGGAAAGCGTCTTAGCATTCCTTTCCCTGGAAGACTGAAGATGCAAGGGTACATACACGCTGCACCTTACTAGTTCTCAAAGCATGGTCTAGGGACCCTTGGAGTCTCTGAAATCCTTTTTTGGGATTTCTGTGAGGTCAAAATTATTTTCATAATGACACTGAGATGTTATTTGCCTTTCTTTTCTTGTCTCCCAGTGCTACAGTGGAGTTTCCCAGGGGCTGCATCACATGTGACAATGTTATTACTCTGGCAGAAACTGGAAGGTATACTGTGTACTGTTGTGTTTTAAAATCTCTCCATCTTAACTTATAACACAATAACTGTCAATGAATATAACCCACCCAACATTTAAGAGTGCAAAATGTTCCTAAGATCAAAAATTTTAAGAACCACAATATAGACCATCATTGTCAGTCACCATGCTAGAATGCTAACAAATACCATCATGTTATTCTTTTCAATGAGATTTGGGGAACACCCAAGTATTATAGGTGAAGACTTCTTAAGACTTCTTAAGGAGATTTAGGAAGTATTCTATCTGTCTAAGTAGATAATATTCAGATTACCTCAAAAGCTCTAAATAACTGTGCTGTGGGCATGCACCCTCCTCTAACATATGGGTATGTGTGCCCCAGATCCTATTACTGGATATGTTAATTTGCAAAGAAAAAAGATAAGGAAACATTTTCATCTGTCCTTTGACAACTATCTGAAATGGGATCATAATTCATGCATACAGCCTTCATTTGAAAGGAAGTGCATTTTATTTTTGGAATTCTTGAACTCTAAATGAACTGAAACCAAGAATCCATAGCCTACCAGGAATATAGGGTAATCAAGCAAGCTTTTCCGGCTTGGGGGTTTGTGTGAGTGTCTCTGTGCATGCACGCATGTGCAAGAAATGAGGTCAGTTTGGTCACCAGGCCATCTGTTAAGAGACTTCTGAATTACATTCTTCAAACACAGCACAGAGGTTCATTTCCACGGTTGGCCCAGTGCCCATTTAGACAGGATCTTGGGATTCCATAAGGCCACTGCCTCCTAAGCAATGGAAGTGATCATTTTTTACATGAGCCTTCCTGAAGCTGGGGCATGGAGCATATGGGCCCACAAATATAATATTACAAGCCTAGATTTTCCTTTGTCTCACACACAGGGACTGTGACAGAGCTGGATATACATCCTCAAACCAAAGTAACCAAACTACAGAATAGAAGCATTTGATTTGAATTTGACTGAACACAGATGAGATGAACATCTGTTACATTCCAGACACTAATGGAAGTTAGATGAGGAAGGCAAGACAAATACTTTTTCTGTCCTCAAGAGTAAAAGTGAAAAAAGTGAAAGTGTTAGTCGCTCACCTATGTCCAACTCTTTGTGATCCCATGGACTGAGCCTACCAGGCTTCTCTGTCCATGGAATTTCTTCAGGCAAGAATACTGGAGTGGGTAGCCATTCCTTTCTCCAGGGGATCTTCCCAACCCAGGGATCGAACACTGGTCTCCCACATTGCAGGCACATTCTTTACCACCTGAGCCACCAGGGAAGCCCTGGGTAGCCATGAGCCTAACGTGACATGAACACACAACCTTCACCTACCATTTACCAGTTACTACAATCCAGTAACCTCTGTCATCTATCAGAGTTAACTGACTGAGATAAGGACAGAAGGGTGACCACCATTTCTCTCTTTTATTCTTATTATGCTGACCTCCTGGAACCATCTCTGGCCCTCTTGTCCTGAAAGAAGAAATGATTTTCACAGAAAATTCATGTCTTAGAAACAGAAAACTGTTGTCTATTACAGAGACTCTTTAGCAAAATAAAATGAATGACACTCAAAATGTTCCATTTTAATCATCACAGGTTTGTAATCATGTCTATTAAACTATTTTATCTTTAGGAGAAATGAGAAGATAATGGTAGAGCTAGAATTTTAACAATGGTTAGGAAGGCAAAATTGAGTCACCTTTTTCATACTAAGAGGAAGTGATGTGAAGGCACTAGTGTCAGAAACTCACTTGGTGAGGTGGCTTTCTCTCTCAGCATCTGGAAGGTGATGAGTTCCCACCACTCACTGACTCACTGCTTTGCCCACTGGTTCTTCTCTGGGCAAGGAAGAGAGTTGTGTCTCTTTCAGGGTTTCGTAGGCATCTGACAGCAGTCCGTGGAAGACAGCTGTCCTGGGGCCCAGAATGGGCAGTCTGTAGTGAACATTCTCTGGAGAACAGAGCAAGAAGGAAGGAGAAGGGCTCCTTAGATTCTATTTTTAAATACACTCAAAATAACCAGTGTCACCAAGGATTTCTCAACCTTACAAAATAGATTCAAGATTCACATGAAAATCCTCTCTAACAGAACCATCTTACCCCACCACACTTAAGCTTTTACATATCTTGGTGAAAGAGGCCAGAAAAGAGTGTTTAGAAACAAAACTCAAATATTCAGAGAGACTGCCAATTAAATTATAAGCGAAGATAAAGTGCAACAGGAGTTGTAACACGAGTTAAAGGGAAAAGAGGATACAATCCTCAAAAGACTTTTCAGGGACACATGTGTGGTTCTGCTCTTCAAACAAACAAACATGATCTTACGAAAGCCTATAGTAGGGGAAATGCACTTGTATTTCAAAAGGAACTTTCATTTTATGAAATAATTTATTTTAGGGCTCCTTAAAATGCTTACCATCCTGACCTCTTCTTTGGTTATCAGTTTATTTACAGATAGTTGGTTTATTCAAAATTTTTGGGAACACTCATTGTGAAGGAGAGTACATCAGTGCCTAAAATAGCATATTCTCACTGGAAGTCACTGAATGACTAAGCGAACTGGTGTCCTGAATTCCCTGGAAAAGCTCCTTGGTCCAGGTGAATGACAGCTAAGAAATGTCAGAAGATCACAAACCAGTTCAGTGTCATGACTGTAATGAAGAGGAACCCGAGGTATAGGGTCATGATGAACTAAGGATCAGAAGCCAGATCTTCTTATTCCTAACCCTTCATGTCACATCTTAGCCCTGGTGGAATAGTAGACCAGCCCAGGTGGTAGACTTAAGTCAGGTGGTTAGCAGCTGTACCAGTGTTTATGGACAAGAGCCTGTGAGTCTTATGGAACTCTGGACTCAAGGCCAAAATCAAGATGAAGAAATCCCATCACTTAATAGAGATAGGCTCTTTCCATTTACTTAGTTCTCACTAGTAATTATTGAGAACCTATGAAATTTAGCTGAATCCAGAAAAATACTAGGGATTACTGTCATGATTAACAAAATAAGTTGGGCAGTCATTGGCAGTGATGTTTTCCGGGATGACTCAGCCATTTGGTATTTGCAGCATGTCCACAGGCTATGCAACACAGGGACAGGTCTAAGCTGTATAAACCAGTGGGGCTGGGGCAGTGTCAGCAGCTTTTCTGGGCTGATCAAAAGTGAAGGCTGCTGGTACTGAGTGTCTGGCTCTCAGGGGTGGGAGTGAGCAAAATGCTTCTCTGGTTTTAAAGGTGGGAACATAGAGACCCAGAGAGTTTCAACAAGATAGCTAAACCTGTCTAGCAAGCAGGATCTAAACCCAGGTCTCTCTGCTCCTAGGCACCTTTTTTTTTAACCTCAGAAAGCATACACAAGAGCAAAGCTCAGCTCAGAAGGGTCGCAACTGGAATCAACTATCAATCTACCAAGTCTCAGCTCTAAAAGCACTCTCTGAAGTCCTACCTCCAAGACTGTGGTTCTTGGATGAATACAATGGGCAAGAACCATGTCTATTGAGAACTTAATGTGATCTACATTCATCGAGTCTAGCTCTTATATTGGTAGTTGAAAATATATCCCCAGGGTTAATAAATTCATGAGAAGTATCTTATCACATTGTGCTGTAAAATCAGAAAATAAATATTTTTGCTTAGGGAAGGGCATGTAATTATATGTGAGTGTATGCGCACACATAGGTTTCATCCTTTGTGAGGCAGACCTGAAAAAAATCCAGGCTTAAGGGAAACTCAAAATGAATGTGCGACTGGTAAGAGAGAACCCTGAAACCAGCCTCACACGTGTTCATTCGCCCAGCGCTCACGAGGTTTCAAGAGAACGAGGTGGTTGCAGGCAGATGGGGAAACTTTCATGAAGGATGCGCTTAACTCTTGGCGCTTCAGTCCACTTTGGCTAAATGACAGGCAGGAGAGAGGCCAATATTTCTGTATACGTAAGAAGGGATTGGAGATCCACTAGAGTGGAAATCTCCTAACCTCAGCTGTCCCCTTAATCTCCGGTCCTCCACTCCTTCAAGATACCCCTTCTGTCCTCAAATTTCCTTTCTGATGTCTTCTCAGTTCAATTCTGGCTCTAACTCCCCTGCAACCTTCCAGGACAGAGCTTAGACTTTCCCATCAGTATGAAGTAAAGAAAGTGATCTTAATTTTCCCTACTGTGTGTATCAAAAGGAAAACTGAAAGTGGCTTCAGGTAACCTGGGAGCAGATGAAAATACGGACATAAAGTGACAGCCTCTGCTGCATCAAACCCTTAAATTACATTACTCCAAAGAATGACCCACCCTTCCTTCACCAGCCCTGTATTGGTTTCTCTGAAAGATAAGACTTATGTCAATGCTGAAGCCAGAGATAGAGTTGCTATCCTTTTATTCTATTACCAGTGAGTGAATGTAAGAATAGCACTGGGCAGCTGCCAGGAGAAGGCATGTGTTCCAAGGAGCCTGTGGGAGGGAGGGCTTGGGGCTTGGTAAGGCCATTCCAGCGGTGTGGGGACATACAGCCTTTCTCCCCTTAATTGGGGCTGTTAGGACTGCCTGAGAAGGGAATTATCTATAGACATTCTTCAGCAAGTGGATTAGGGGGCTCTTTAAATGGGGCAGAGCCACATGGCATGGAGACAGGACCTGGGAAGGAACACACCGGGGACAAGGCCAAGTGAGGGCTGAAGAGGGGACGGGGAGGGCTGGAGGGAAGGGCGGGCTGTGGCCCACTGAAGCAGGTCAACAAGCAGCACGTGAGAGAGGAGGGATGGAGAATGGGAATTCGTTCAAAAAATTCAGAAATTATCTTAGGCAGTAAACTTTCCATTTTGTTACCATGAGGGTGGTATGTTTCCCCCTGCAAGTACCCCCAAAAGAAGGCAAACCTGTTAGGATGTCAGCACGAGAACGTTTGGGTACAGTATGGGCTTTTGGCAGATGGAGACTCATCATTCTGATAGGAAGAAGCAAGAATACACATTAGTGATTTGGCTAGGGCTTGGCAGAAAGGAATGTGTCTTTATAAATTTTAAAATACAGATGGGCTCTCGAACCCAGCACCTGCTAAATTGGTGTTCAGACCACCTGGCTGCAATGTGAGATGACTGGTCAAAGACCACTACTTCAGAAGCTCTTTTTACTTAAGTGCTATTTTCATGGATTTTGATAAAAGCTGCATTTTAAAAAGTATTTTATTTCACTGTCAGAACATGTACAGTCTGAAAACAGAAGGGATTAAGGAAAGAATCCTCCAGTTCTTAAGAATAAACATAACAACACTTCCAATTTACCTTTCAAGTGCAAAATTGAGCATATTTTTATTACAATCTTCCAATCTTGGAGAAAATGTCTTGACCACTGCCTATTTTTTCCTGGAAGCTAAGATTGGAAGTGACTCTCAACCAAAAGGTGCTCAATTGCTCAGTCGTGTCCAACTCTTTGCAACCCCATGGACGGTAGACACCAGGCTCCTCTGTCCATGGAATTTTCCAGGCAGAATACTGGAGTGGGTTCCCATTTCCTTCTGCAGGGGATCTTCCTGATCCATGGATCGAACCCATGTCTCTGGCATCTCCTGCACTGGCAGGCAGATTCTTTACCCACTGACCCATTGGGGAAGCCCCAAACTGTTTCTACATTATTTTAAGTTATTTTACTTCTAAAGATTGACCAATCTGTAAACGTGGATGGGCAAGCTACACCTCTACATTCATTTCCTGGTATCTATTTCAACAAAGATTTTCCAAGATTATTTTAACTTTGCTACTAAAAATACGGCCAATCCAGCCAGTTAATTTTATTAAATCGCCATTGGAGGATTCACTGGGACTAAGAAAAAGAAAAATACCTTTAATTGCCCATTTTTGGCAAAAAAGAAGATGGTGTTTGTAAGACAATAGTTTAAGAACTGTCTATACTATAATACAACAAATATATATCTATCTGCATATACTTATTTCCCCTGTCTTTTCCTTTCTCCCTTCTCTCTTTCCTTCATTCCTTCCAATCAAAATCATTTAATTTCCACAATGACTATAATTGAAGTCTCTTAAAAGTATTTCAATGAGGACAATTCCATCAGCCTATATGTGTAGTGATACTTAGAGGCTGTGAGGAGAGAAATTATAAGCTACAAACAGAACCAGGATCTTACTTACTTAAGCTCAATCTCAAACAGAGTAGGGTGTTTTTCTTCATTTTGCTAAAAACTAAAAATGACCCATCTAATACTACTGGGATTGACATGATTTTAGAATTGGTTTAGCCTTCACTCTAAGCTTTAAAGGAAGAAGACCTTGTTTTTTTTTTTTAAATTAAATGACATGATTTGAGACTTTCTTTAAAGTACCAATATACAAGATAAATAAATTGGGTCAAAATTTTTCAAAAATCTCTTTCATAGAAGAATGAACTTTAGCTCAGAAATTCCTGAGTTTTTCAATTTTCCACTTAAAATCTGTAAAGAATATTTATGAGAGATACATTTATTGTGATCTAAAAGCACTTATTAAGTATAGAGTTGGTGCAGGGAATGTCAGTGCTGGAGCCTGTCACATTCAAATGCCCATTTCCTCCACCATCATGTCTACTTGGGCCAGTACATGGTTTTGATGCACCTGAGTCCACATCTTAGCTTGTATAAATGGCCCTGAACTCATACAGAGAAATATAACATCTACTACTGTCCATCCTAGGTTAAAAAAGGGCCTATTTATTTTCCCACATCATTGCTCTCTGTAGAGGAAACAAGTTAATGATTGTCATTAGATCACATATAACTTCTTGGATATGTAAGGGCCACTGTAGGCTTACATTTCAACCATCTACTGCAAGACAAGTCCACTTATCTTGGTGCCTTATCCAGGGTGACTCCATGTTTTGAGTTGTTGTTTTTTTTTTTTAATGAAAACTGAATTCTTCCCTGTCTGGTAGTAACATGCAGGAAAAAACCCCAAAATCAAACTAATCAAACTTTGACTGGACTTTATTTCTGATATATTTGATCTTGGTAAGAAAGCAGCAAATGACAACAAAAGGAATGGATAACAGTAATTTTAGTCACTGCAACGTATCAGAGGCTGTCCCAGTCCCAAGAGAAATGATGTATAATCTTTCATATCTTATGAATTAGATATGTCATCTACATGGAAAATTTGTGTTTAGTTCTAAGTTATCAAACAAATCTATTCTATGCCTTGTACAGGTCCTATGAAGGTAGAAAGGAAGATTACAGTTGGTACAGTAGTTTTAATAGCTGTTTAGGGAAAAAGGTAAAAACAACTATTTTTTGGTCTAACTGTGTATTAATAGTTTAACCAGAAAATGAAACCACTCAAGAAACTCATCGCTTAAGCATTTCCTAAACATTTTACTTATTATATTTCTCAACCCACTATCCTATGTCCCCAAATGAATATAACCAGACATAAATCTGTGTCCCGATTTAAATCTTTAACTTACCTATGATTCATAATATTTGCAAACGATAGTTTCAGATCATCTGGGATTATCAGAGTTTTTGGTTGCACCTGTGGAAGAAAGTCTCATGTAGAACAATGCCCAAAACTGCACTCTAAGTTATAGAAATAACATACCATCTTAGCAAACTCAAGTTGCACTTAATGAGTCATTCATATATCATTTTCTCCTTTCTCTTATAGAATTTATTCCTATTTTAATTTTTTGCTGCTATTATAAGTGGAATAGTTCTCCTTATTTCATTTTTGGATTGTTCATTGCTAATATCTAGAAATAAAATTATTTTTTGTACACAGATCTTGTGTCCCATAGCTAATAAATGCTGTACTCATTTATTAGCTCTAGTAAATGTTTTGTGTTTTGAAATATGGTTTTATGTTTTCATAATTTTAATTTCTTTTATTCTAATTTCAGTTTCTTTTCCTTGCCTTAATTTTCCTGACTAGAATGAACACTCAGTGGTGAACAAAAGAGGAAAGGGTACATATCCAGGTCTGTCTCTGATCTCAGGGGAAAATACCCAGTCCTTCCTAAGTCTGATGTTAGCTGTGGGTTATGATAGGCACCCTACATCAAGTTGAGGAAGTGCCTTCTATTTTTATGAGTCGCCTTTTTTGGCCATTCCCCATGGCATGCAGGATCTCAGTTCCTGACCAGGGATTGGACCCATGCCTCCTGTGGTGGAACCACAGTGTTAGCCACTGGCCCACGAGGGAATTTCCTAGGAGTCTTTTTATACCTTCCCAGCATCTCCACTCTGCCCCATGAGTGGAGGGGTCTCAGTGACAAAGCAGTCCCCACCCCAGTCCCCGCTGAGAAGGAAGTGGAGCTGCTATTGTACACAGTGAGCCAAGAGCATTTCGCACTTGTTTTCTAACCTCTTTTCATTTCCTCGAGGGTCTGTGAACCCCAGTTCTGACAGCAGTGGGGAAGGGCCCTTGGGCACTTTTGCATCGGAGGCCCTTCCTTTGCGCATTCCAACAAATGATAAAACCATGCTATGTGCTTCCACTCAGGGCTGGTCTGGGCAAAAGTGAAGGTCAGAAGAGAGGTCTTGAGAGAGAGAACAGCTGCTGAGGTCCCCAGGGAGCCAACTGGCCAGGGCCCGCTTAGGCCTGGGGTCAGGGCCTTCTAAACGTAGACACAAGTGATTCCAGAAATAAGACCAGGAGAAATTCCAATTCCAATTTCCCAGCCCCCAGCCAACACTGATATTGAACACTGTGATCCTAATTATGCAGAATGTGAATGGAGGTAGTTAACATCCAGGTACATCTTTGTTGGTAGTTTCAGTGACACTTCCAAATCCCACACAACAAACTCACAAACCCAGAGAAACACTTGCTTGGTGGAAGCATTTTCACTGTGAACTCATCAAAGGGGCCTCTCTCATGCCTCCTGTTTCTCTTCTACTCCTTGCCCCTTTCCTGTTTCTGCACAACTAGCCTCACCATCCTCCCTGAGTCAAAGGAGGATCAAAATTGAAGAGATGCTTCCCAAACCTAACCATTCAACTAAATTAACCTTCAATCCAAGCCTGATGCTTTCTCTGAAGGCCCCTAACCCTGCTTCCTACACTGACCCAAGTCTTAATTCCAACACATACAGCCTCCCTCTTGAAACACATCTCTTTCTTTAACAACTCAGATGTCAGAGCTTTGTTCTTGAGGTGCCCACATCCCCCTGATAGCCTTTCCTTTTCTAAAACTCCCCCTGGACCCACCATTCCCCACCACCAGTAACAAACAACCACCTGTAGCCAGGAAGTACCAGAGATTCTCTCCCCAGCTCCACCACCACTGAGGCCATGGCTGAATGTATGATAAAGCCCAGGATGAAGCTGCTTGTTTCATGGCTGTGATGCTGGAGTGTTGTGTTGGAGACATGTTAAGGCAGAAAAGAGGCTCCATAACCTCTGGCACCTCTGTAGGGTAGTCACCTGAGTCCAAGCAAAGCAGCTCAACTCCTCTCTTCCCCTCTGGTTCAAGCCTGTGGTCTGTTGCAAATGGGGAGGTTTACCAGGTAAGGTGATGCTGCTCCCAGGATAGCAGCTGCCCATCTGTGGCCCTTCCTGCCAGGCTCCATCCTGGTCTCTTTGCTGGGCTTTGGTGCGGAAGGCGTAGTGCTGTGCCCTGGGGACACCCATGCCCACACCTGCCATCCCCTCACCTACCATCTTCACATCTCGACATGTGGAGCACAGCTGCTTGTTTCTGATCAGTGTGGGGTTGTGCTGGTTCCACCCGGCCTGCAGGGAGAGACAGGGACAGAGGTGAGGAACCGGGGTGGCAAAGAAGCGAGGAAGGGGTTGGGGGGTGGGAGGAGTAAAAGTTACTTCTGCCACAACAGAGAGATGAACACTCTGGTCCCAGCTGTGCCCAGGATGGATGTTAGGCTCAGACAGGGTTTAGACAGAAGGGGGTGAGCCACAGACTAAACAGTGGCCTCGGGCGCTGGCATACAGCGGCACAGGCGTAAGACAGCTGGCAGGGGTGGGGGTGGGGCAGGGTGGGCCTGGGGGCTGAAATCCAGTGAAGTCCCTCTTTTCAGTGTGAGGGGCTTTCCTCTCTCATAGGTGACACTTTCTATATTTCATACACAAGTCCCACCATCTTGACTAGTTGAGGACCTCCAATGGCCTGAGAAAAACAAATAGAAGACTTCTCTGCTGCAAATCTGCTTTCTCTAGTCCCTCTGAAATCCTATCCTCTCTCGTCAGGCCTTCACTCTGGGGCGATGTCAGCTTTCAAGCATACACTGCCTGCTACCACGTGGCCCTTCTGCACCACCCGAGAGCCGCGATCAAGACCTGGGCAGAACCGGAGCCCGTGTGTGGGTCCTGAGCCCCGTCCCTCCCCATAGGAGAGAGGCAAAGAAACCACCAGCAGAGGGAGAGTGGGGCCGCTTGTCTGCTCACTGTAAACACTGCTTTCTTTCCGATTCCACTTCTGCCTGCTGCAAGGGGAAAGGGTGGGCTTCGGCGCATTTCCACCTGAAACGCAGGCTTCTCATTTGCATAGCCAGGGAAAGCTTGGTTAGGGAACAGATGGCAACTTGAGGTTAGCACCCCGTGTGGGGATTCTCTCTTACCCTTTCCTGTTCACACTGACACCAGAGTCCTGAGATAGAGTCTTAGGAAGCGTAGATACAGGGGAGAGGAGGAGCACAGAGACAAGCAGACAGCAACTGCAAACCGAAGGCTCTTCTTTCATTTGATTGACCTGGTGATCTGTCACCGCAGGTGACACGTTCCTGCTGTCCAGACAGGTGTGCAGAACAGGAAGATGGGGGATATACCTGTGTAGCAGGGGTGTGCCTGAGGCGCGCTCCTAAGGTGACCTTTACCGGACTGTTCCATGAGATGCGCTTGGGTGAGGCATTACGAGGGGTCTGAGGACTGTAAAGTATGCACCATGTTGGATTCTTTTGACAAATATTTGAAATACATTTCATGTTTATAGTCCATTTTCAAAGAGTCAGTATTCCCACACTGTGGGTTGGCATGTGAAAGCATGACTGGGAATGGCTTAATCCATTCATTCAGCCACAAACCTTCATTGTGACGCCACCGCGTGGAGGGCGCCGAGATGGGGTCACAAAGATGAATAAGAGGTTTCTGGCCTAAAGGAAGACCAGGGAAGAATACAGACTCATGTATTTGTCCATTCATTAATGCTGGAGTGGGTTGCCATTCTCTCCTCCAGAGGATCTTCCCGACCCAGGGATCAAACCCGGGTCTCCTGTATTACAGGCAGATTCTTTACCACCTGAGCCGCCAGGGAACCCCAGGTACTGAGGATGTGGAGATAAAGAAGAAACCATTTCTGACCACAACCTGCTCAGCACCCAGTGTTTGGGTACCAAGAAGCGTGCCAGTGTTGAAGGCAGAAAGACGCTGAGGCCACCAGCCGAAAAGGAGGCCTGAGCTCACCTGGTGGGGGTGGGGCGTCACGAGAAAGCTCTGAGGTGGGTTGAAAATACAGGCAGGTGGGTGCTGGAGGTGGTGAGCAAGGAGAGCGGGCGGTGCTCCAACCTAGGAACACTGCGCAGTGACTTGGAAGAAAGACCTGGCAAATCCACTTCAGGTAAGTGAGGACAGCCTGGAACGGCCAGTTGTGTGTGGGAGGACGGAGGGGTGAGAAGAGGCTGGAGAGGACCCCCCGCAAAGCCTCACCCCGACCCTGGGCTGACTCCTCTGCTCTTCTGGGCCCATTCAAGCTTCTACCTTCTCTTCCCAGATATCCTGGGCAAGGGACCTCCTGGGGCCCAGGCCTCTCCCCCTGTCCGTCATGTCTTTTGAGTTCTGAGACTAAGACACCTCTCTGAAACTGTGATTCAAGGCTGGATGTGCTAGGCATCACTGAAGAAGCAAGGGTACTTCTGGGCCTTCAGCAAAGAGAGGGACTGTGTCCTCTTGGAGCACTCAGCAGGGGCTTCTGAAAGTGGCATCTGTACTTGGTCTGAAAGGACGAGGAAGACCTGGATGGGCAGAGGTGGGGTGGGAGGGTCCTCAGCAGGTTTGTTTTCAGTAGAGTTAGAAGCAGGTGCTTGTGTTTCCTGCAGTTGATTCTGCCCCTCTTGCAGACTTCTGGTGTCTGCAGAAGAAAACACTAGAGCCTGCAGGGATTGGAGTCACAGGACTCATTCGAATCAAGCAACAAGCATACCAGGTACCCGGCAGGAGCTTGCTAATTTAACATCTGGACCTGTGACCCGAGTCCCACACTGTGAGGACTGTCATCCTTGGGAATTTGAGGGAAAAACATGTCATATATATTGTTTGATCTGGCTTTGGCAACGCCTTATCCTGTACAATCTAGCTTAGACGTTTCTTTTTCAGAAAGTCTTTCTCCTGACTCCCTTACCTGGGTGTCTGCCTCTCAGATTGCATCAGGGATTTACTATAACTCTTGTTGCAATTTGTGCTGTTATTCTGTTTTCTTTTTAGCATGTTTGTTTCCTCCTAAGAGCAAGAATGTACCTCATACATCTTTGGATATATAAGAGGCTGATTTCCAATCTTCTCACCACAGAGAACTCTTTTTATTATTTCCTTCTCATTGACTCCCAAGCTTTGACAGCTTGTGACCACTAGAGCAGCTATCCTGCATCTCCTGAGTCCTCCTCCTGTTTCATGTTGATCAAACACATACGGTGACAAATACAAGTTTCAAAGGGAAGTACTGATAATCACCACTGACCCAAAGTAGTACCGGAATCTAGAACCTACTGTGTCGCACACAGTAGGTATGCAACACATGTTGGTTGAACGAATGAGTCAGTGTAAGCATTTTAAACTATCAGGTATATAGACATGACTAGCATACATGTATGTCCATAAATCTCTAGAACACAAGACAGATGTGTGCAAAGATAATTATTGCAATAGCACTTTCTTCAGGGGAACATTACAGGACGTTTTTGTGCAACCAATTCACGGACACAAGGTTCTTAGAAAAGCCAAGGCTGGAAGGCAAATTGCTTGGTTCCAGACCTGGCGCTGAGAGGCTTGACTGGGCGATCCCCGAAATGCTCTGGGCCTCCCAGTCCCCTGCTGCTGCTGCTGCCAGTCCCTGTGGCCAAAAGGCCAGAGGCCAACTCTCATCCTGCCCACGCTTTCTAGGGACAGAAAGAACCAGTTTTTGATGTGTGGCTTCAGTCACTCTGCCAGGAAAGGGTGATATTCCCACCTGAGACTCACTGTAAGCCAATCCTTGCCCCCAGAAGAGCCACTGCATCCCTCCTCACCTGGAGAGGCAGGCAAGGGCCTGGAGGCGGGGGGCTGGGGGGTAGAGGGGTGTCTGTGCAGTGTGGGAGGTCGCCATAATGAGCAATCCTGCCTGGGCGGTCTATAAAGACACCAACGCAGACTCTTTGGGATTCTGGGTTCTTCTGTGCAGACTCACAGCCATCAGGGAAAGAGGCTCTGAAACGTCCATGGGGCTCTCATTTCCCGAGCAGCTGTCCTCAGCAGAGCAGCCGGCAGGGTGACAGGAGAGCCCGGCCAAGGTTATGCAGAGCTCAGCCGACCCCCAGGGCCAAAGCCTGCGCCCCACATCTCACACCTGGGAACAGCCTCTTATCTGAGCTTACTGTCTGCTGAGGCCCCTGGGCTCTGGCTTGTGGCCAAAGTGCTGGGCCTCCTTGAATCTTAGAGGGAGAAAAAAAAAAGAATTTTTTTTCTCCCTCTCCTTCCCTCTTCCTCTCTCGGTCTCTCACTCTTTCAGACACACACCTGTCCACCTAACAAAAACTGAAAAATGTAAGCACCAGATGGCGATTTTAAAAATATCCATCACAAACATGATTTGAGGGGCACTGACAGGCCTGACTCCTATCTTCTCGCCCCACACCTGTCTTCCTTTCCTCCTGCTCACTCCTGCCTTAACTGAGACACCTCATCAACCATCACCTACTTCCACCCTTTCAGTGGACACAGTGAGGAAACTGTGGCTCAGAGAGGCTAAGAGATTTGTCCAACAGTCCATACATGTAGTTTCTGTCATCCAGAAAGTTCTTTGAGTAAAAAGTCAAAGAAAGACTACCTTTCCTGTGGCAGAGAGCACTCTTAGTGTCCATATCAGGACATGATGATTCCTGCAGCTCTTAGAAGCCAAAAGTAACAGTAGGAGAACTACGTTCAATATTCAAACAAAAAGCCCCCATCATAATTATACATTTCCCTGCTCTCGGACAATACCAACCATCTCAAAGAACAAAAGTGAGCATAGTTTAAGAGGTACTCTTACTGCTTACTAGGAAAAATTTCAAACATACACGAAATGATCAACAGCCGTGTAACTATCATCTGGACTTATTAAATGTGGTTTTCATTTCATTATTTAGATCATTATTTAGATCTAGATCATTATTTCAGGTTAGTTCTTTAAAGCTTGGATTTGTGGTTATACGTGTTTGATCAACACAAACAGAAGAAGGAATGAGGAGTATGTGAAGGGTCATGAATCTGCAAAAACTGAGAGTCGAAGACAGAGAAATAAGAGTTCTCAGAAAATGGGAACTGCCTCCTATAGTGTTCCCAGCCACATCTCTGCTGCTGGACGGTGTTTGTCAATGAGGGCTTTTTGTCACAAGTCTGCCAAAAGCAACATGAATAATGTTCTCCCCTTCCCTCTGACTCGTTAGACTGGAACAACAAAGCCAGTCAAGGAGAGCAGACGGGGATGGGGCAGGAATGGAGGGAGTGGTGGGTACTTTACACTCCACGGTGCAGCGCTGGGGGGAGACTCGGTCACAGCCCACCCAGTAAGCAGGCAAAAGGGCTCTCGCCATGGCTCCCTGATCACCCCCATGTTCGCTCTGCTGGGCTGTGAGCTCTGAGTAAGTCACCTCCTGGCCTCAATTATCCAATTACTGTGGTCACATTCTTCTCTCACGGAATCCGGAGGAGTCGAGTGCATGCCTGGCACAGGCAGGTGAAAGCCCAGCCTGGTGAAGAGCCACCCCACAGGTGTTTAAACGGCACACGGTCAGCCTCATCGCTCGGTCTTCATTTTCTGTTTTTCTTCTCTGTGAGCGCCATCTCTCCCCCTGTTTCCTTTCTGGCGTCTGTTGTCCGCGGACCCTTCTGTGTGTCTGGCTTCTGCTCTCTTGCTCTTTGTCTCCCTCTCCCTGTCTTTCCGTCCCTGAGCCTCTGCTTCTTTGTCTCTCTGGTGATGCACACAGGTGTCCTGCTCCAGACACACACACACTTGCCCCTGGCCTGGGACTGCTCCTGGGCAGCAAAGGCCACTTGGAATGTGGATGTTCAAAGCGATGCCTTCTGACCCGTGATGATGAGTAGGAAGGGAGCCGGGTGGCAGGACCTTTGCACCTGTGCCCTGGGGACAGGATCTCAGGGCTACCACAGCCTCCTGACAGGTCCCTGGTGTGGAGGAAGGAAGGAAGGGAGAGACAGTACATTCCACTCCCATGAGATAGAACACAGCTTCTCTCTAGAAAGGAGCAGCACACACACATGCAGGCCTCAGGCCCGCCATTGACTCTGGGCACTGAATTCAGATCTGATAGGCACCCACTGGGTGCCCCAAGAGAACAGGGATCCCAGGGCCCTAAGAAGGGTGGCAGACTATGCCTCCCCCAAACCTGCCACGTTGGCCTAAGCCTTGTTTTGAACTAAGATGCTCTGTAAAAACAGCACATGCAAGAAAAGTGCTCTAACCTCTTACGTTTCTTCCTAAAAGGAGATAAAACTGCATATACAAGATGCCCTAATACCAGAAGAAAAGTAACGTTCTTATCTTCAAGGACAAGAAGTGAAGCCAAGAGAATTCTGTACAGACCTTTTCAAAATAATTGTTCTCCTTCAGCCTTCTCACAGTTTACTCTTGCACAACTGCCTATTTTGACACCTACTATAAAAACATCCAGATTTTGCTACTTTGGGTCTTCATTTCCTCATGAAGGCTCTTGTTTCACGTAAAACTTATAATAACTAAATTTTTCTCCCGTAAATCTGTCCCTTTAAATCTCTAGTTCAGCCCCAAACCCTGAGACGGCAAATGTAAAATTTTGCCTCCCCTACACCTGTTTGGCCTACACACCCGCGCACGCACGTGCACACGCTCGCTGGTGGAGGGTCAGTCTCTGACAAGGTGGAGGTGAGGGTGTGGGTGAAGTACCTGAGTCTCCTGTCGCAGCAGGAGCGATGGACTTGTGACCCAGGTCTGCTCAGAAACCAGCCTCCCAGCTCAGCCTGCAAGGCAGCCCGCGAGAGCTGTTGCTCTTGGCTTCCATCTAGTGGTCACATAAGAGTATTGCAGCCGTGAAATCCTAAACCTGGCCTCTCACTCATGATGCTTTCCTCCCCCTCCTTAGAGCCTTAGCGCCTAGGATGGCACGCTGCGCGGAGACCCAGGGCAAACCCGCGAAGAGGAGGCGCTCGGTGGCAGCGGAGAGCCTGTCTCAGGAAGAACTGCAGAGACTGAGTGACTGGAAGGCTTCTTGCTGGCACTGCAGCAACCAAGGGGTCAACGCCGTCTCCGCTCAGGCCCCTCCGTTCCTTTCTTACCTATTTGCCCGTCCACCCTAAGGTGTTCGGGGGATTCGTGCTTGACTCTCAAGCACAGTCCTGTCCCCGCCACTCCCGTGTTTGTAGACCTGGAACGTCCCCTTCGTGCATGGGCGGGGTCCACCCGCCTCCTTGGGTCCCTCCCGCCAGCGGGATTCCTGGATGCTCTGGCGGTGGCGGCAAGCCCCGGCTCCAAGTCTTGGCCACCCCGCACTCCCCGCCCCAACCCCGGCCCTTCCTCCTCAGGTGGAAATCATATCTTCCAGATCCAGTCCAGGTGCCATGCTTCTCGCATCCTTCCCTCGCCCCTCCCCTAGGCCGCAGGTGACCTTTTCCCCCACCTCCTCTCCAGGACTTCGCTCTTTCTGAGTCCGCGGTTGGGTACCTGGCCTGTCCGCCCACTCATTTGTGTGGGTGGCGTCTGACTCACTCATCTCTTTCAACCACAAAACGCGAGGGGCCTGGGAGCATTCATCCCCTGACCGGAGGGCCCCGTGCCAACGCTTCACATGCCGCCTTTAGCAGCCCTGGGAGTGTGACTTGGGACTTTTCAGGCGGAGACGCGGCTCACATCCCCCGGAGTGCTTTGTGTTTCTCCACCTGGGGCGGGTGCTCGCTGCACCAGCACCCTTCATATGGGAACCCCCCCCCCCCCAAGCACAGTGTCCCGGAGTGTCCCCCAACAGCCAGTCGTGGCAGGTTTCCGCGAGGTGAAGGAGAGCTGTGGAGTTCTTAATGTGAAGTTCCTGGGTTTGGGGGTCTTAGGTGGGAGGCGGAGGGCTTCATGGGGGTGGGGGGAAGGGGTTAGAGACTCCAGGAAGGCGGACTGGTTCTGGGCACAGGCTGAGAAGCAGTCCCTTGAAGGTCTCAGGGAAGACCCTTCAATATGAAATTTGTGTGTGTGTGGGGGGGGGCGGATTCCCTTTTTGATTATTGTAACCTGATGCCTTTATTCTTGGTTCTAGTGCATGGGAGCCTTAAGATACTCAGGACTGGATGGGGCAGGGGTGGGCAGTGTTCACTCACTCCATTTAAGGAATCTCTGCTGAACCCTGAGGATGATCCAGATTCCGGGCTGTGTTAGGGAGATAAGATACACTTTGTATTCATACTCTGGCATCCTGGAACTATTTATAGCCTAGGGTTTCTTTTTGCCTAAAAAATAATTGAGTACCTTAGATAAGACATCTGGAACTTGGAACAAAATTGGCAAATTCATACCCTTCTTGGATGCAACCAGAAAAGTGGCAGAGGAATGAGGATATCTGAGAAGGCAAGACAAGAGCAAGTTAGAACCAAGGTGCCCATGTGAAGTTTCAGGCCCTTGGGCACTTCAGAGAGAACCTGGGGGACACCCAAGTTGTTGCTCCTCACCCTGAACCTGGAGGGCCCCGGCCATTTTGGGGCTGCCATACGATTTCTCCTCTTTAGTCACTCTGGCTTCCCTGGCCCTTTAAGTGTTTCTTTTTATAATCTTTTTTTTTTTTAATTTATTTTTGGCTGCACTGGATCTTCATTGCGTTTGTGTCAGCCTTCTCTAGTTGTGGCGAGTGGGGGCTACTCCTCCTGTGGTGCGCCGGCTTCTCATCGCGGTGGTTTCTCTTGTTTTGGAGCACAGGCTCTAGGCATATGCGTTTCAGTAGCTGCAGCACGTGAGCTCAGTAGCTGTGACACATAGACTTTAGGTGATCCTGTGGCATGTGGAATCTTCCCAGACCAGGGATGGAACACCTGCATTGGCAGGCAGATTCTTACCACTGCACCACCAGAGAAGTTCATCCCTTTCTTTGAACTAACCAATGCCAGTTGTAGGTTGTCAGAGACAGTGAAGGGTGTGCAAACAAAGCAAGAAAAAAAAAATTGTTCAGAAAAGCAGAAAGATAATGGGTGAACTGTACCCCAGAGCTCCTTCTTGGCAAGGCCCGCACACAAGCCACTGATATTTAACAACAGCAGTCCTTTCCTGCCTGGCCTGCTTTCTTGGAGCTTCTGTCCCTGTATCCTAAAACAATCCACCCATTTCCTGCCATGGGACATCTCCCTCCAACTATACTCTTCCTCTGGAACATTCCTTTGTTCCAGGCAGAAGGTGAGGCATAGATGCTACAGCAATAACAAGAGTTCTCTTCCTAGGATGACCCACCCTGCTGGCCCCTGTGGGTTGTTTAATTACACTGTAAGGAGCCAAGGTGTGCAGGGGGCCTGGGCCTCGTAAGCAGCCTGTGTGTACAGCCCTGGGCCTTCCCTGGCCTCCGAGAAATGGAAACTTGCATGGAATGCTGGTAGTTCTGCCAAGAATACCTCTCCTCTTTTATAAGGAAAGATTTAATTATCCATTGTTCATTTATAACAAAGTCATGCACATGGTGTTCATGAGGCATTTATTGTTTTATTTCTCCCACCATTTCTCTGGGAGAGTGGGGAAGTGGGTCTGATCCAGCTCCTTTACCACCTCTGTGTTTGACGTGTGAACAGCTGGCCCTGAACTTGATACCCAAATGCTGACCAGGAGAGATCAGAGGCCCCTTTAGAACTGCTTTGGCACTCTAGAATGTTAAACAAACAGGACCACAGTGTGATGTGAGGGCTTTTGAGATGAATGATGGATGTGGCTTCATCACAGTCAGGCCGACCTGAGAGAGAGACCTCCTGGAAGAGGTCTGTGTGGGCAGTGACACTCAGAACTGGGTCTCACCTCCTCCAAGCCTGCAGGTGTGTGTCCAGAACTCGCAGTTAGGGGTGCTCTGAGTGCATTTCACTGAAGTTTCCTTTCTCTTTTTCAGACTGTTCTGTGTTGGAACTGCTTGTCCAAAGCTCAGTAATACTTAAAGCACATTTAGAACTTCCCAACCAAGTTCCTAGAAAAGGGTTTTTCCAGAAATAAACAGCTTGGAACTCCGACCTATAGCCAGAGAAGGGGTTTCCAATCCTTAGGAACTGTTGAGACTTGGAGAATCCTTTCAAAAGACTTTCCATTCCTATCTTGTCCTTCTGAAGGTCAGGGCACCTCACAGGTGCTGTCCTGTTGTCTTAGCGTTCTTGTGAAGTAGGTAAGCAGGATTTCTCTTCAGAAGTGTTGAGAAGTCCTCCAAGAACAGACATGGGCAGAGCTCCATACCATGTCAAATTATTTCTCTTTGCAACTGGCTCAAGCATGGCTGGCTGCATGGAAAACTACTCTTTCTCTCCCCAGCTGGCTGGCCCCTCGGACACTCCAGGACCCGTCTGTGAAACTGAACAGCGTGTGAGAGTGCCCAGTTGCGTTCTTGGTCTGCCTTTTTCACACCCCCGTTCCCTGCGAGTGTTCTCAGGTCGCTCAGTCATGTCCAACTCTTTGCAAGCTCATGGACTGTAGCCCACCAGGCTCCTCTGTCGAAGGGATCTTCCAGGCAAGAACATTGGAGCGGGGTGCCATTGACTTCTCCGGTGCTCCCTCCCTACCTCCCACCAAAGGCTTGTACAATCAAGGCAAATGGGAGCTGGGGGTGAGAGAGCTGTGCACAGGGATGCCTTGCTCATGGCTGCAGGGGTAGGTCTAAGAGGTGTGGGGTGGGATGGGATAGCGGGATGTTACCCTAGTCAGATGTCAGACACTACCTATTTCACATGGAAATCCACCTTTCTGCTACTGTTGCAAATACAGACAGGGTCACATACCTGCAGGCAGCATTGACCAGGGTAGAGGCTGACTGTTCCTCTCCTGAAGGGAGGTGATCTCCCCTTCATTTTATAGTTCCCTTCAGCCAGCTCTACTCATGTACACTGACCATCTGACTACCACTGTCACATGAGTTTGTACCCTGCCCCCAATTAAAAGATGCTAAATTGTCATTACTCATGCTGATCCTTGAACTGCTAACAGCTCTTAATAAGAACTAAGTCATTGGTGTTTTTATTTAGTCAACAAGCCTTTGGGTCTATTCAATCTCAGATTGCCTGCTTTATATTAGGACATTAGCTAGAGTTTAGATATATTCCAAGTTATGAGGGGAAAAAAACCCCATACAACAAGCACTTTACAGGTGCTTCTGAGAATATCCAAAACTGTCTAGCTGCTGACTGAGAATGTGGTTTCTAAGAAGGGCAGCAGATGAAGCAAAGGTATATGTTATTGAAATGGGGATGTGGAGGGAATATTTCTCATGCAGAGTCATTTATCCATGGGCAGGAGGGTACATGACAGTTACCAAAAAGAGGAAAGGCTCTTTTCAGAGAGTATTATCTTTCCAGCAAATGACCTTACCTGCCAGGGAGCCAATTTCTCACCTATGATGTACCTATAAACTTAGCTCCTGGCCTGTCCTCTCCCAGTCTTCCCTGGTTTTTCCCATTCACCCTGACATTAACCTCACACTTACCCTTCCTTTTATTTCCCCTTTCAGAGGAGAGTGTAACACCTGGGGATCACACCAGGGGATCAGAAATGGGAGAGGAAAGAGTAAACTCAGTTATTTCAAGTGGCAACTCCCTACACATGAAATCCCCCAATTTTAAAAGATAGACACATGTTCCACAGGCATTTGTTTGAAAGGGCAGAACTGGTGAGATTGGAGGAGATTGTCTCAAAGTTAAAATACAGGAAGTTGCTACTCTATGAAGATAAGAATTTATGATTCTAGACTTTTGATGGTTAAAATTTTAAAAGTTCAAATGAAAGCAGGGAGACAAGGTAAGATGATGAGGAGGATGGAAGTGTTTTGAAAGGCAGTGTCCATGGGCAAAATTTTCTTGTATTGCTAAGTGGTAGTGGAACAGAAGGAAGTTAACTGAGGTCTTATCTCCTCCAGCCAGGCCAATTCTCAGGGCTCACTTCTGTGTTAGAAACCATGGCCCTTTCTGTTTTATTGTTGCTAATTAAGAAAAAAAAAAATTGGTGGCACCCCGGGGCATGTGAGATCTCAGTTTCCTAACCAGGGATCCAACATGTATCCCCTTCATTGGAAGGCACTGGATTGCTGGGCAAGTCCTCCTTTCTGGTTTTTAAGCACTTGACTTAGCCTCTTAACCGACCAGCTAAGCCCCTCAGATGATTGTCCCTAATCCTTAAGAAATCATCTTCCATGAGACCTTGCTTGAAATCTTTGCTCTCAGTGGTTGGGCTGTTACCTTTTGGGGAGACTGAGCACTAATGGCTTGTTCATGAAGCTGGCCTCACTAAACCAGGGAATCTTGTCAAACCTTGGAACAGAAACCTAGAGGGAAAAATGAAAAGAGATCATTTTGCATAATGTATTTCACTTGGCCATTTCCATCATTAGGATGATGAAAGTAACCTAATAGCAGCTATACATCAGTCAGCACTTCACATTTTTTATGTTTCATATTTGACCCCATTGACCCTCCCATTAAGTAGCCAAGAGGAAATAATGTTATTTCCATTTACAGATGAAGAAATCAAAGCTTAGTCAGCGTGATTTGCTGAGTCACACAGCTAGTAAGTGGATTTAGGTTTTCTGACTTTTGTATGGACTACATCTTGTGTCCTACTATCTCCCTTTGCTTTTTCATTACTCCCATCTGTTTATGCATCCTCTCATATTTCCACAACCTCAGCTGAATGTTAGCAGCCTCCCATTCAAAGTGTCTGGCTGTTTTCAGTCACAGGGCCCTCCACCCTCTCCCTTTCCAGGCAGCAGAGGAAAGAACTGCACTTCTAAGCGATAGACAATTGGATGTTAATCTAGGTTAATCCACTTCCCAAGTGTGTGGCCTTGGACAAATCACAACCTCTCTGAGCCTCAGTTTTGTCTTCCATGAAAGGAGGAGGACATCGTCACTTTACCCCTCAATGCACAATACAGAAATCTCCGTGAGGGGAGGAATTCTTGTCTCTTCTGTTCACTGCTGTATCACTAACACCTAAAACAGTGCATGATACTTGTAGATATTTATTGAGTATGTGTCCAGTGGATGCACGGATGCATGGGACGTCCCTAGCTGAGGGCTTGACTTCACAATAGGAGCTCAATCAAGTCGCCCTTATAACCTTCTTCCAGCCTGGCTTCTCTCCCTTGCCCTTACGATGCCACATTCCGGGTCTCGCTGTTGAAGATGAGCTTTCCTAGCTCAGGGCATTCCTCCTGGGAGAGGAACGGGAAGTTCCTCTTAAGTGGCCAGGAGGTGGCAGCAGCGACATCGCGGCCTCACCGGCTGAGGAAGGGCGCTCTAGCCGCGGAGGTTGTGGCGGCCCCGGAAGTGCTCAGCCACCGACGCGACCCCGGCGCCCCGGATGGGGAAGGAGGCGGGCGGCCGCCCTTCCCCGGCCGCGCACCCGTAGGAACTCGCGGGCAGGTGGGTTCCGATTGGGAGTCAGTGTTTCCGGGCCTCCTCCGCCATCTCCCGCAGGCCCGATGCGGGTGAAGGGCGGCGGCGGCGGCGGCGGCGGCGGGGGAGGCCCGGGGGGGGAGTGGGGCGCCCCCGGGGACACCCTACGCGGCCCTGTCCCCCACCCTTTGGGTGGGCGTTGCCCTTTTCGGCGCCTCGGACCCTACCGTGGTCTCCTTGGAAGAAATAAGGTCGGGCAATAAGAATTTTCTTTTCAGACTTGCTGGATGACCTTGATATTTCTGACTCTTAGTTTTCTCTTTGTGGGAAGGGGATCATTATCTTCGCCGTTAATGAGTAGGATGATAGCTCTTCAAAGGATGTCAAGCTCAGTTAAGGGATTAAGAATCTTCAGTCTTTGCTTTTGGTTAAACAAACCATAGAGCTCGTGTCTTTCCGTATTGTGAGGTTTACCTTTCTCTTTAGACCGGTATCTTTCTTCTTTTGTACTTTTTTAAAGTAACAGATGCCTTTGAGAACCCAATAAAAACTTGGATTCTAGCCCTAGAAATTTGCATAAATCACAGCAACAAATATGCATTAACAGGGAGGGTTTTTGAACGGTCTTGAAGACCGTCGGTAGACCTCAGGGGTGTGTGAACCCCTGAGTTAAGAACTGGTTTAGAGGTACAAGGCTTTGGGGCAGAACTTGGGTTTGAATCTGGCTCAAGTATTTACCACTGTTAGCTTGAACTGAGGTAAACTAAGCACTTTGAATCTCAGCTTTTTTACTAGATAGAGTGGGGCTGGTACTAACTTGCAAGGTTGTGGAGATTAAATGGAAGAAGCTTCAAAGGTCGGCACATAGTAGGCACTGGATAAGTTACAGCTGAAAAGGAATTACAATGTAAAATCTGAAATGAAATTTAAATATCTATAGTATAAGATGGCCACCATGTATATTTTGTTCAGGCTTCTAACAAACCAAGTTGATTTGATTTGAGCTCAGTCCTGCCCTTGACCTTTCATAGATTCATAGTCTCTCTTTTTGTAGGAACTTGGCTGCATTGTCCTGCCTCAGAGAACAAACTCATCTGCTGTAGGCCTAGCCTGGGTTGCTGCCTTTGAAAGAAAGGGAAGGTCAGTACAATATCAACCACAACTCAGCATGGAATTTCCAGAGAAGTCTTACATCAAAACTTTATAAAGAACAAGAACCACATGGACTTCTGCAAGGGAGATTGAAGTTGCCTGAGTTTGAGCAAAAGGATAATGTGTGCCCAGCCTGTAGCTAACACCAAAGAGGTCAGGTGGCAGAAGGTCTTGTATGAGCGACAGCCCTTTCCTGATAACTACGTGGATCGGAGGTTCCTCGAAGAGCTCCGGAAAAATATCTATGCCCGGAAATACCAATATTGGGCTGTGGTGTTTGAGTCCAGTGTGGTGATACAGCAGCTGTGCAGTGTATGTGTTTTTGTGGTTATCTGGTGGTATATGGATGAGGGTCTTCTGGCCCCTCAGTGGCTTTTTGGGACTGGCCTGGCTTCTTCACTGATTGGCTATGTTTTGTTTGATCTCATTGACGGAGGTGAAGGACGGAAGAAGAGTGGGCGGACCCGGTGGGCTGACTTGAAGAGTGCCCTAGTCTTCATTACTTTCACATATGGCTTTTCACCGGTGCTGAAGACCCTGACAGAGTCTGTCAGCACTGACACCATCTATGCCATGTCAGTCTTCATGCTGTTAGGTCACCTCATCTTCTTTGACTATGGCGCCAATGCTGCCATTGTGTCCAGCACACTGTCCTTGAACATGGCCATCTTTGCTTCTGTCTGCCTTGCCTCCCGCCTGCCCCGATCCCTCCATGCCTTCATCATGGTGACATTTGCCATCCAGATTTTTGCCCTGTGGCCCATGTTACAGAAGAAACTGAAGGCGTGTACACCCCGCAGCTATGTGGGAGTCACACTGCTCTTTGCATTCTCAGCCTTAGGAGGTCTGCTGTCCATCAGTGCTGTGGGAGCCATACTCTTTGCCCTTCTGCTGGTTTCCATCTCATGTCTCTGCCCTTTCTACCTCATTCGCCTGCAGCTTTTTAAAGAAAACATTCATGGACCTTGGGATGAGGCTGAAATCAAAGAAGATTTGTCCAGGTTCCTCAGCTGAGTTGGGGACCTCCATTCCATTGCTAAGACAAGCTGATAGACCAGCCTTCCACCTAGTAGAAGATTCGAAGGCAGAGTTCCATTCTGGAAGTGGCACGCTGATGTGGGTGGGAGATCAGAGATCAAACGAAAATGTTAACAAAAGGCTTGGGCGGTGAAGGTGATTATCCTTTCTGTTATCTTATGGATGAAAAAACTTCCTGGGCCCTCGAATTCTTGCCTCTCATTCTTCTCTGTAACAAATGAAGTGGTGTGGTTTCTATTTATTAAAAAAATAACAACACATCAAGCTGTCTCATGATTTTTCTGTAAGCAGAAGGCAGACAGTAAGGACATGGAGAGTAAGAATTTGTGTATGTGTGTGCATGTAAAGTCACTTTTCTTCCTTTCTCAGTAAACCAAATAAAGGCTCTGTTATTTATCTACAGCTCAAATGCTAGAACCCTGGATAATATATCCAGTTTTGTTGCCAAAGGTCACAGAATTGGTCACGTAACCTTGACTAAGTATTTCCACTTAGTTTTTAATGAAGCCTGTATGCCACTAACTACAAGGGGAGTATGATGTATCATAACACACAAGCAAAATGTTGGGGGAATTCAAAGAGGCTGGAGGGCAAAGAGAGCTGGAGTAATGAAATATTTTTTAGAGGAGACAGCACTTGAGCTTTAGTCTTGGAGGGTAGGTAGGGATTTCAGCAAGCAAAGGATGGTTTGGGAGACTTTAGCCTTTAGCCCAGATGAGCAATACCTGGGCTGAGCAAGTGGAGCTGGCATGCTTTGTGTGACTAATGGCAGCTGGAAAATGGGAGAGCATGTCCTGTCCAAACAAGGTAACCACTTCCCTACTCTGCATGCCTTGACTGACCAGAATTGGCTCATGATTGTTATATAGTCCACATCACAAACAAGATAGGAGTTAGTGGTGGAGTGTAATAAGAGTTGTATAAATTGTTTTTAAATTTACTTTTGATAATTGCTTTACAATATGGAATTGGTTTCTGTCAAACATCTAGTAAAATTGTTTTTGTTTTTTAATGTCTTATTTTCCTTATCTGAATGGGTTTCTGATGATCAACTTTAGGGAACTCACATAGCAACTGCATCCATGTTGGGGAGCAGAAAGTTCCACAGATTTGAATCACTCTGAAGAACACTTCTCAGTGGGATGAATTAACGTGCCTGTGTCGTCATGTTCAGCTCTGTCATACTATCTGATATTTGGAATTATCCAAGGCCTGATCCTATTCAATCTCATGGTTGTAGTTCAGAGGAGAGGTGGCAGGGGATGGGGTGTCATGGATTGGCTATTAGGGTGCAGGGTGGGGCAGCCGATTCAATTCAGATAGAAAAGAGGTATTCATGGGTAGAAGGATGGATGTATGTCCAGGCGCAGAGGGCCTGATACCTCTTGGCAGTGGACGGGAGCGCAGAATGGATGGGCTGCAGCTGGAGAGGCTGAGGTCTGAGAATGGTGAGTACCTTGAATTATTGGATCCTGGAGTCAATGGCAAGTGAAGGAGCTTTTGGAAAGGAATATAGGATTCCCACCTGAGGTGGGAGGGAGACTCAAAAGGGAGGGGACATGTGTATATCTGGCTGGTTAATGCCGATGTATGGTAGAAACCAACACTATTGTAAAGCAGTTCTCCAATGAAAATAAATTTTTTATTAAAAAAAAAATGGGATCTATGATTCGCACCTAACACTTCCATGGTGTGTAAAATTCTAATAGCAGTATTCATGCTGAACTACAGAGGCTGA